AAACATTAAAGATGGCCACTCACATGATGCATAGAACATAACTAAGGTATGTTTTTATTTTATGATATTTTAATGAAACTTTAAAGATGGCCACTCACATGATGCACATAACATAACTAAGTATGTTTTTATTTTATGATATGTTAATGAAACATTAAAGATGGCCACTCACATGATGCATAGAACATAACTAAGGTATGTTTTTATTTTATGATTTGTTAATGAAACATTAAAGATGGCCACTCACATGATGCATAGAACATAACTAAGGTATGTTTTTATTTTATGATATGTTAATGAAACATTAAAGTTGGCCACTCAGATGGTACAAAGAACATAACTAAGGTATGTTTTTATTTTATAATATGTTAATGAAACATTAAAGATGGCCACTCACATGGTGCATAAAACATAACAAGGGTATGCTTCTTTTTCTTGAGAAATGGTTTAAATGTTTCTTCTGTTAAATGATGTACATCTGTTTCTTGTTCACTCCAAGCTGGTTCTGGAGGGGGTGGAGGAGGGGGTTCTTGAGGACTGTGAAATGAAAGTAAATACATGATTGGTGCAGTGTCTATTTCAGAGTCAAAATACTCTGCCAACTGATATGCCCGAAAGCAATATCGTCACAAAATTCCAATTCTAAAATAAGTTTTATTTATACATTATTTTCCATGATCAATCAAAAATAGACTTTTTACCAAAACTACCAAAGTATTCACTAAAATTATAGAATTTAAGTTATCATCACAAAATAAACAAATGCAAAATAAGTTTTATACAGTTGGAAGATGAAAATAAAACAAATGGATGTGCTCTCTTGTTTACATAGTGTAAATAGAATATCACGATTGGTTGACAGATATATGAATAGAGTTCTCTGATTGGCTAGATGGATAAGTGTTATAAGCTGGCAGCCAATGAGAGACAGTCTTACAAAATACTCACTCTCTCATGTGTTCAATTATTTTGTCTTTTAATCTTTCATTGAAATCCCAAGCAAATTCACCATCTCTGAGAAAAGAAAAACATAGAATAAACACAGTTACCTATTGGCTGAATCATATCACATGACATGAAGTGAGAGCTACCTATTGGCTGAAATATACCACATGACAGGAAGTAGCCAAT